GGGGCGGGCGGGACGGCCCGGGCAAGTCCGGGTTGAGGCCGGCCGAGCGCGGCCAAGCCTCCATCCTGCGTCCGGGCTGCGTTCCAAGCCGGAAGCGGGCGCCCGCCCCGGGCCCTCGCTGAGCCCGCCTGCGAATGCCGCGCACCAGCCACGCGCGAGGCGCCCGAGAAACGAAGCCCGCGAAGCCCGCGGTGAACACGCGCCCTGCAAAGGCCGTGTGAACCGCGCTTGCGCTGCAAAGTTCTTAAAGATCAGTCGAGGCCAAGTGGAATAAATTTGATCTGTACCAAGTTTTTGTGGAAATGTTATAAAAGAGAAAAACCAACAAAACTTGAAATACAGAGAGGATGGGGAAAGGAATAATAGACTGGGGGGTAGGGTTTTTTCCTTTCTTTCTTTTCTTTCTTTTCTTTCTTTCTTTCTTTTTTTTTTTTTTTTTTTGAGATAGCCTGTGTTTTGTTCTGTCGCCTGGGCTGGAGTGATGCAGTGGCGCCATGATAGTCGCTGCCACCTGTAATTCCTGGGCTCTAGCAATCCTCCTGCCTCAGCCTCTCAAGTAGCTTGAACTACAGGCGTGCAGCATGCCAAGGTTTTTGCTTTACCTTTGGGTTTTTGGTCTCGGAGATTCGGGGAACAGGACTTTAGATTAGGGGTAAGACAGAATTTATTATACGGAAAAGCACCAGAGCTCCTGGCATAGGGAAAGCCCCAAATCAGAAAATCTTAGCCTGGGTCCTTTGTCTAGAGGTATACGTAGTCGTATGGGTCCTTTGTAGTTACCTGTGTAGTCAGAACAAATGAATGGGTACAGTCCCTTCTGCTAGGGGCAAGGTGAATGAGCATTCCCTTCAGGGAATTGCCCAGGCCTAGGAAACTTACATGAAATTGCCTAGGCCTAGGAAATGCCAGGGCCCTATTCAACTCTGAGTCAGGGACCCAGTTTCAGGAGAATTAATAGATCTTTATGTGGGATTAACCGCCAGTGGGGGTCAAGAGGTGTGGGTGGGGTGTCTTGGCATAGCTGACCTTCCAGCCTCCCCAGCCAGGGTAAGGAGGCTGCTCAGCCAGCCAGCCCAGTGCTCATGTGGGCCTCTCTCTTGAGAGCAATGCAGGCACCCGCTGCTGGGAGGGGAAGTGGGAATCTATATCACTTTGTTGGGGGTTTTTTGTCGTTTTTTTTCAACAGTATTTATTGCAGTTTGGCCGGGGCCCTACTCACTGAGCCACAGGCACCACCCTATCACTTTGTTTTGTTTGTTTTTGTTATAGAGACCCCTTTATTTTGTTTGTTTTTGTTATAGAGACTCCTGTCTCATTTTTTCAGATTGGTCTCAAACTCCTGACCACAAGGCATCTCCAACCCCAAATTGTTAGGATAACAAGCAAGAGCCACACAGCCCGGCCTATTTTGTGTTCAACCTCTGAATGGTTGATTTTACTCACCTTAAACCAGACTCCAGCACTGAAGAATCCGTGTAAATCCAAGTACCAAGTAATCCTCAAAGAGGGGCCAAGTCCAGGCCATATGCATGGATTCACATTGCAAATGAGTGCTGGTAATGTATGGAAAACCTACTTGAAAATTAAAATGCCTCAGAAAAATAAATCCACACAAGTCATCAAGAGCACCCCCTAAAAAATCTATTACAACGCCTCTCCCCAGCACACACGCACATGCATGAGAACACTTATGAAAGTGGAGGAATGCAGGGGGCGCCTGTGGTTCAGTGGGTACGGCCCTGGCCCCATGTACCAAGGGTGGTGGGTTCAAACCCAGCCCCAGCCAAACTGCAACAAAAAAAATAGCCAGGCATTGTGGAGGGTGCCTGTAGTCCCAGCTGCTCAGGCACAAGAATCGCCTAAGCCCAGGAGTTGGAGGTTGCTGTGAGCTGACACCACAGCCCTCTACCAGAGGCGACATAGTGAGACTCTGTCTCTACAAAAAAAAAAAGAGGAGGAATGCTGTGACTGTAGAGAGTTGACATGTTACCAAGAAGTTGGGTCTGGGATAAATTATTAATCAACCAGACAAAGGGATTTTTGCACAGAGCCTTATTCAAGTGCATCAAATGGTTGTAATGTTACCCATTATGTGATTGCATCTTTACGGATACTCACATGCTTTGTTTCATAACTTTACACCTTAGACCTGGAATAACATGCTGCTGCTTTTCCCCAAATGTTCCTTATCCCACTTGTTTCTTGTGGGTGTCAAGACTTATCAAATATAAGGACACAGTACAGAGTCCCTCTGCTATGGAGTTAGGAAGATCTGGTATTTGCAACTCTAGCCGTGTGGCACTGAGCTTAACCTTTTTGGTCCTCCATTTTTTCTGTAAAATGGACATAAATGACTACTTTTGAATGTTACTGTAGAAAGTAAATGTAACAGTGTTCCAAGAGTGCCAGGTAGCACCTGTGGCTTAAAGGAGTAGGGCACTGGCCCCATATGCCAGAGGTGGTGGGTTCAAGCCCAGCCCTGGCCAAAAAAAAAAAACTGGGCAAGAGTGCCTGTAACATAGCAGGCCTTCAGTTAACCTTTAATGGAAGCTGTTGTTATTTTTGCCATCTCTGAAAACTTCCCTAGGGCAGCCTACACCAACATGGGCAGCTACTCTATCCTCTGTGTTCTTGTATCACTTTAAACACACCTGTAGCCAAGCAAGGTGGCTTACACCTATAATCCTAGCAGTTTGGGAGGCTGAAGCAAGAGGATCTCTTGAGCCCAAGAGTTTGAGATTGCTGTGAGCTAGAGTGCCATAGCACTCTAGGGTGAGAGTGAGACCCTGTCTCAAAAACATAATAATAAAATAATAATAAAAACACACCTGTGGGTACTTACCTCACAATATTATCATTATTCATGTTGAATTCTGTCTCCTCTTCTAATTTATGAGATCTTCATTGTTATTTGGGGGTTTTTTGTTGTTGTTGTTGTTGTTTTTAAGAGATAGAGTCTCACTTTGTCTCCCTCAGTAGAGTACTGTGGCATCACAGCTCACAACAACCTCCAGCTCTTGAGCTTAGGCAATGTCATTTGGTTCTTTACTCTCCAAAAAGCACCTAGAAAACAGGCTGCTTAGTAAATTCATATTAAGTGAATGAACGAATGAATATTTTTGTGTCTGTCTCTGCCAGTTGTGTGAATAATATATCAACTGGCAGACACTTAAAATAGCCATCATATGTTGATCATTATGAAAGTTTTGAGATATGCAAAAATCAAGAAAAGTAAAATCCACATGGATAGAAAGAAATGAACCCCTCCCAGTAACACAAATAAGCTAGGCAAGTTCAAACTTCCATGCATGTTGATATTGAGGATAAAGTTTAAAAAAAAAAAAAGAAAAAAAAGAAACTTGCACAATTGAATCAGAAAGGACTCTATCAACTGTGTTTCTTGGAAATGAAATAATGGACCATAACACAGTCTGCCTCAAAACTTTCACAGTAGGGTGGCGCCTGTGGCTCAGTGGATAAGGTGCTGGCCCCATATACCAAGGGTGGTGGGTTCAAACCCAGCCCAAGCCAAACTGCAACAAAAAAATAACCGGGCGTTGTGGCAGGAGCCTGTAGTCCCAGCTACTGGGGAGGCTGAGGCAAGAGAATCACCTAAGCCCAGGAGTTGGAGGTTGCTGTGAGCTGTGTAATGCCACAGCACTCTACCAAGGGCCATAAAGTAAGATTCTGTCTCTACAAAAAAAAAAAAAAAAACTTTCACAGTGGCTGGGTATGGTGGCTCATGCCTGTAATCTTAGAACTCTGAGAGGCAAAACAGTAGGATCCCTTGAGTTTAGGAGTTTGAGATTAGCCTGAGCAAGAGTGAGACCCCATCTTTATTAAAAATAGAAAAATTAGCCAGGCTTTATGGCAGGTGCCTGTGGTGCCAGCTAGTTGGGAGGCTGAGGCAAGAGGATCACTTGAACTCAGGAATTTGAGGTTGCTGTGAGCTAGGCTGCCACCACAGAACTCTATCCTGGGCAACAAAGTGAGACCCTGTCTTAAAACAAACAAACAAACAAAACCCAAAAAAGAGTGACCCATATATACAAGTCAGCAAGTAAAGTCTATTTTGTCAGTGAAGTAAGAAAATTGGTCCATCTTCCACCTGCATCTCCACTCACTGAATTTTTCATGGTAAATGAGATTTTTTTATTTGAAAGGCTATATTTATAATCTCACCGCTAGCTCTGGCGTCCTCAAACTATGGCCTGCGGGCCACATGTGGCCCACCTTGGACAATTATCCAGCCCACCGGATGTTTTTGCCACTGCTTCCTGTCCTGCTTAGCAGCCGACTCATCCCAGGCCCTGTAGTCTGGCCCTCCAATGGTCTGAGGGACAGTGAACTGGCCCCCTGTTTAAAAAATTGGAGGACCCCTGCCATAGCCTAAGAGTACTATTACCCTTATGGTAGAGCAGATAGGGTTCTTGACCCATGCTTCAGGAGAGCCTGCATATCACAAACACACACATAAATGTATTGATATTAAAACACATGGGCACCTCTGTTACTTGGGATCTCACATACAGCACTCAGACACTGTACCCCATATCTGAAACATATCTGAAACATACCCTGTCACGAATAAAAAGAAATGCTTCTTCGAAACTCCTGCCCTACAGCTCGGTGCCTATAGCTCAGTGAGTAGGGCACTGCCAGCTAAATACACTGAGACTGGTGGGTTCAAGGCCAGCCTGGACCTGCTAAAACAGCAATGACAACCACAACCAAAAAATAGCCAGGTGTTGTGGTAGGCACCTGTAGTCCCAGCTGCTTGAAAGGCTGAGGCAAGAGAATCCCTGAAGCCTGAGAGTTGGAGGTTGCTGTGAGCT